ACAACTCTTGGTGACAATTACTGGAATTGATCAGAGTTTAAAAAACGAGCCCCTTATTTGCCTGTGAAGTTTCTAACTAATAGCTCCTCGAACAGCTGCTCAGACGTTCATCACTTCTCATCGCAGCTGTTCTTCCAAAAGCCATTTGAGGTAAGCAACCTTGCTCAGGGCTAGCTGACTTTCAGACCTCTGTGCACTCATCCCAAACAGATTTGATGGTTACTTTAGCACTATGGTTCTCTATTTTGCTTCAAATTCAGTGCCTTTTATTGTTGACCTCAAGGGAATTTAATTTAGAAGTTTAATTGTTCTTGTCAATGAATTGTGCCTTTGTATCCAAATGGTCATAGCTAGATTTAATTCAGAAAAACGATGGGCCAAGGAATTGTGTCCTGCTGCCAGTAAAATCAGAGAGAGCTATTTAAGCTACTCTTACTTGTGCCTACTTTTAAAATAACTGGATCTGATTAGTTTAAATGATAGCTACACGCTTGAGCTATTAGCTTTATCTGCCTGTCTCAGGGAGCTTATTTGGATTTGACAGACTTTTATGGCATGCTTGATTATAGAAGAGTTTTTCCCAATATATGCAAGTATTTTACCCCCTTCCTGCACTCCCTTCACCCTCGATGACCTTCTCTCTCTCCTCTCCATTAATATCATAATACTCGTTTGCTTATGTTATTCTGAATAAATAAAAGTCCCCCGTCTTCCGTCCCTTCATTCCTTTGAAATGAGAAGCACACTTGGGTTGCTTTCCAGAGGTGACGGGCGGTTGTGTTTAGGTGCTCTTTAATTCCACTGCTGTCTCTCAGACGCACACACAAGGTACCTCTCGTCAGTACATTTCCAAAGACGGATAAGCTCTTCAGTGCATGTGGTGCTGCTTGGACTCAATAACATCGTCTAACCCCCCCCCCTTCACTTTTTATCATTGCTCCACCTCGTTAATTTCTAATTCTTTCCATCCTCTCCCTCTTATCTTGCAGCATTAGCTGGAACATCACTCTCCATTTCTGGGTTCCTCATTTATGTTAATGTTTTGCCCTGAGTCTTTCAACACCTTGTGCTTGTGAAGAAACTCAACTTTCTTTCTCCGTTTTTGTGGCATTAAGTCATATTTTGTTTTGGGGTCCTCCCTCAACATCATTAAAGACTCGGCAATGCCAAACATTCTTTGGTTCCAGCTTCTTGAATGTGAGGATTTGCTGATTTGCTGCTTTTCTTTGCCATATATCATACTAAACTGAATAGCTTTGAACTTTTGGATGAAAAGCAACAATAAGACATCACTTGGGGCTCTGAGAAGTTTTGATGGCTATTTTTTCACTATTTCTTGACATTTCAAGCAAGTGGAGCTGGACCATGTTGTCACACTAAACAAATATCTGCACCAGGAGCCTCAGATGCAGCCTCTAAAACCCAACCAAATATGCACATAGAGGCCCCCCAGGAATGAAAGTGGCTCTAGGTAGTTGCCTGTTTTGCTCAGTTTACAGGCCGGCTTAGAATAGACCCGTAGTTACATAAATCTATAACCCTGAGTCACTACTGTTATACATTACTTACCTGCCAGCTTGCATTTTCCATGTCTGAAAATGAAATGATAATGAGTCAGTCTATATTCTACTCAGAGGAGAGACAATAACTGAAAAAGACTCAAATGATGAGCCTGGATGGAAGAAAATATCTTCGGAGGGAAATCACACTGTCATTTGTTTTTATATCTAATAATGCACCAAACAGCATGTAAAATAAATTGCATGTGCGCCTGCTAATGTATGTTGCCAAGAGCTAACCAAAGTCAAATTTTTCCTTTTGCTTTCTTGTCCTGTTTTTCTTTCCCTCTCACTTCTCATCTTTCCCCTCGCTCGCTTTTTGTCAGAGCGGCATCTGGGCCATCTGCTGGCACCGAGCAGCATCTGAACCGGTGGCACACCACCCTTCATCTGTTATTAGTACTTCAGAAAGATTTAGAGGGAGGAAAGGTGGGATGTGGGGCAGGAGAGTTGGAGTGAGTACTGTAGGGAAACAAGCGGAGAGCCAAAAACTGGAGCCAGAGAACCAGGTTCCAAAAACAAAGTGGTGGTGTGTTTTCTCTACTCAGCTCTTCTTTTCCTTCTCTACTCTTTTACTCTCTGTTGCTACAGTTTTTTTTGTATTTAATCATGGGCGCTTGTTGGGTAGAATGTAGCAACATCACAGGAACTGAATGCAGCTCAAGAATAAAGATTTTTAAAGTTAATTAGTTAAGATTTAATAAAGCATTTTTTTGCTGCTTCCATTAACATCGTTTTTTGTGTCATCGATGATATCCTTCAGTTATTTGTATGCCATCTTTCTTGTAGTTTATGGTCAGTTGAATACTTCAGCTTATGATTTATGTGGAGTTAATTTCATGCCCCCAACTGTTGACTGTAAATACTCTTGGCTGAGGTTGGAGTGATGGTTTGAGGTTAGTGGGAGGTCAGCTGTGCTATGTGGGCAGTAGAGCTATTTGGAAGATGGAAAACCAAGAGACAGAAAAAGTCATTTGAATCAACGATTGAGAAGTGAAGAGGAAATGCCAGCACTACTGGCAGCCGCATGACCCGGTGCTTCAACACATTGTCCTTGGCTGCCTTCTCCCGGCCCTGAATTTGGAAACAAATTAGAAACAAAAAATACAGAGTGCGAAATAAGCAGAAAGGAGGGTAGAAGGAAGGGAGTGAAAAAATATTTACTCAGGAGTAATTCTGTGTGGAATTTTTTTTGGGTTGATGATTGTAAAAAAAAAAAAAAAAGCTTCCTTGAAACTACAATAGTGGCCATTGAGCAGCGCAAGCCGAGTGTGAGCGTCAAAGTTGGCTCCCATCCAGTGACCAGGTTTCTCTTAAAGCCAGGGGAAGAAAAGAAGGACTGTTTTATGGAAGGAAAGGAGAGAAACAGACACACACACACACACTCTCCATCTGTTCTCCCTCTCTTTTTCATATCCACATACATGAACAGTTGCAGATGCCTGGCCAGAGAGAAGGACAGAGACATGCATGCATTCTTTCAACCTCAGGCATTATTCTTATCTGACATCATCTACATATCCTATCTGTCTTTTTACCTGGAGTCCCTCCATTATATACACATATGCTCGCAATTAAGGCCCATCCATTGAACTCACCATCTTACTTTTTTTTTATTTGGCTAAAATGAGAGGCTACAACAGGCTCAACTCCTTTAGACCTTAAAGGAATGTGTGTATATTAAGGGACATTCAAAAATTCAGTACACGTAGAGGTTATAACATTACAGGAAGGACGAAGAACTGAAAGCCTACTGACCTCCAGGGGGTGCATTGTTTCTCTAGGAAGTTTTCTCTCTATGAGTAAATTGATGTAATAGGTCCTGCATGACAGGAGTGGTGCTGTTTTATGTGTTTGTGTTGCTAGCGTGAGACCTTGCACAATAGCTCCCAGCTATGGGCCAGTATATCTGTGCATTTGTTTGTAGGTGTAGGTGTGGGCGTGTGTGCGTGCATTCTGCATCAATCCCCTACCAGCATCTTACCTATAAAACACGTGGGTGGTCAGCCTGTTTATTGTTTGGGTTTGCAAACAATGCTCACCCATTATGCTTAGACCAGTGAGTCACTCACAATGGTTAAATCTACTTACGACCTTAACCTGTGTGTTTTCAATCATAATTTTTATTTCCACTGTGCCTCCAGCTCACTGCTGGTAAGGAAGAATTCCAGGACCTCTCACTTACTGAAAGCACACATTAAATGTTCTTGTAAAATAATTTTGGGTGGTGGTGCACTGTTGAAAGCAGCAAAGAGAATCTAATCCTTTCACAGAGCAATTACATATTTTGTTATTAATCACGTCATCTTGGAAATCGTCTAAGGGGCCTGGATGATTTAACACTTTTTGGCCATGATAGCAGCATCTATCTTTAAGTCGGTCCACCCTGAAATATCCCAATAACTATTAGATGGGTTGCCAGGAAATTTTCTACACACACTCAAGCTCTCCTCCCGATAAATTGTAATATTATTATGTCACTTTGGTGATCCCCTGACTTTTCCTGTAGTACCACCATCAGGTCAAAAATCCTATTTGTCCAGTACTTTACTTTTTTTATAATAAAAACAATAATGGCATTTCCATCAGCCTCAGCTGTACTTTGTGTTTTGCACATGTTAGCATGCTAACATGCTAAATTAAGTTGGTGAACATGTTATAAACATTATAACTGCTGACCATCAACATACTAGCAGTGTCATTGTGAGCATGTTACCATGCTGATGTTAACATTCAGTTCAAAGCACAACCTTTCATAGCATGGCTCTAGATCAGAGACCTCAAACTGCCAGCCCCCGGGGTAATTTCACTCCATGCCCCTCCCTCTGGTCCGTGACATGATGTCAAAAATATAATCTGGACTGCAAGATATTATTTTTATCTAGTAGTTGTTTCATATCAATTTACTACCTGTTCATATACAAGTAAAATAATACCCAATTCTACTTTTGAAATGTGTTTAGTTTGGAGCAAGATAATGTCAAAGATGCCCAAATGTGTGCATGATTGCTAAAACGAGAGCAGGTTTCGGTGATGATGTAGAAATGTTTTTTGTTAAATATAATGTTAGTATGACAATATTTTAAGAAATATTGCGTTTTCTTGTAGTAGTTGAACGCTGAAGTGACCCTCCTATGAGATGATAATACAAGCAGTGGTCCCAAGCCACTGAGCTTGAGACACATCCTTTAGACACTCACATTACCGTCAGACTATAGTGTGTGTGATTGTAATATCCAGAATAATTATACCTTCACGTATACCTTTGTTCCTGCTCTTTCTCCTCCTTCCTGGACTCCCCCTCCTATGATCTCTCCCATCACCCTGCTGAGTGATGGCTTAAGAGAGAGGGAAGTTAACAAACATAATCCCCCCTTTGCTTGTCAATCTAATCCTTCCTCTTACAAGCAAAAGGTGGAAACTTCAAAAAAGAAATTTTTTTTGGATATTCATTTAATGATAATATCACTTTTTCACTTGTACAAATAAGTTCACAGATTAAAAAAAAGACAATGAATGACAACAAGGTTCCCAAAATAAACAGGGAAAAATTAACAATCACATTGAAAATACTTTTGGTTATCTTCAATGTATTCTATTTTACAGACAAATATTCCAGTTTGTATTGCTTGATTGTTTTTTTTGTGGGCTGTCAAAGCCTTTTGTTAACATGGAACTGTTAATTGTGTGCTGGAAATACTGTAGGAAAGTAACTTTACCGATATTCACAGATGTGTCTTTGGTGTGTTTGCCTATAAGTAAAGTTGTTTGGGGCTTAATGTACTCCTGCGCATGCAGGCACAAAGAGGGGGTAACTGATAGTAACTTGATGTCTGCAGGTCTTTGCACAAGACAGAACATGTACTTGCACTGAAGTTGACAGATCTACATGCACACGCGCATACACAAACACACACACACTCTGACTCCTTCTTTGCCCTGTATTCACAGATTTGGATCTCATCACTCTGTGTCTGTATCTCCCACTTTGCAAGTCTCATTGTCCTCTATACAACAATATAAACACTGAAGTTTTTTGTCCTGTGCCTCTGGCCTTTCCATAGTCTGGCTGGTTGCAAGTGAGCAAAACTGGGACTCCCCATGCCAAGGAGAAATTATGCACAGCATTACATTGAGTAGGCTATTTTTACTCAAGGGAAACACAATACACAATCATTATTTGCTTTTCTTGTTGTGGGCCAGGCCAAGTAGTATGTAATATGTGAATTGTGGTTGAGGGATAAAACAGAATTTCCCTTGCAGGGAATATAAATAATAAATAAAACCTCTGAAGTTCTCTTTTGCTGTGGTATAGTCATGTGAGTGCTTACTGTAATTAAGGCAAGCTCTAAACTGGTTGAAACTCAGTGCAGCACTGAAACAGAAGGGGTTTAGTCAACTGCTTTCCTCTGTACCTATTGTAATCCTGCTTACGTTCTCCCTTTGTGATGGTAAAGCAGGCTGAGGGCAGAATCGTGAAGGGGGGGTTTAGTCTGTCCAGACTCACGTCTACTTAGACTGTCTGACATTCTGGGGGCAAATCTCTTTGATTGACTTTACTGGTACCAAACGAGTTTTAATCTTCAAAGATTTTAATCGGCTGTTTTGTCTGGTAGTCACAAGAGGTGGGGGGTGGAGGGTATAGAGAGCTGTTAACAGTCACAATGTTAAAAAAAATAACATAAAGACATAGGTATAAAAAACATACATACAAAAAAAGTCACAAGCGTTTTAGAGCCAAATAAAGCAATACAAGCATCAGCTATTTTCTCTGCACGACTTCATTTGGTGTCTTAAAGGTCATTCACAGCAAGCACTGATCCCTTTGGGGTAGTACTGAGGAGTTGCAACATGCAGCAAAAACAATTGCTGCTAGTGTTTAGTTGGGTTGTTGTGATGGAGAAAAACGCAACACAATCCCATTTCAGTGCGCTCTCCTTTATGAACACATAAGGAGGGCAAAGGGTCACTGTCTCTTAACCCTAGCTTTCAGCCCTTGACTTCTCACCATCAGTATCAACATCATAGCATGGGAGCTGATAGTTTGCCAGTCCAAGATGTGAATGAGGAAATATTATTAAAGCAGGATACAGCATGTAAATGGAGTAGAGGCACTTTCAATGCTTTTTGTCCATACAAATGTTTTTGAAGTTGTTTAATGTCTACTTAGACAACCGGAGGGCATTGAGTAAACCATATGTCCAGTTTCTCTTTTGCTGGTTGGCTGGCTGATACGGTGTCCTCCTTTGCTGCTCTCTGTATTTCACCAGTGGGGAAAACTGAGCTGAAGAATTTAAATCCTTCTTTAAGGCTGAGTTGTCAAAGCCAGGTGTCAAAAGTAGGAAGGCTTGTGTGAAGACATATTGTTATTTGATGAACAGTGATCCTGTAGTAGCAACACCTCATATTCCAGATTGCCAGTCTGAACAGCAGGTTCAGGGATCATAATTTGGGACTGTTTTTGAGGCAGTGCCCCATTATCCAATCCATCCTTAACGCCATCCAACTCTAACTGAGAGGGCTCACAGTCTAAGTCCAGGTGGCCCTTGGCCCTCTTCCTGCGGAGATAGCATACCACTCCCACTGCTATTGCTATCAGTACCAGCAGTAGCAAGATAGCAATTGCAGGCACCAGCATAGTGGTCAGTCTCTGATCGTCAAATTGTGCATCATGGCCCCTGACAGTTTCAGCGGCTGTTTGGGCCTCAGTGCAGACACTGTCAATGCCACTAGGGGCACCTAGTGGACTGGCACACACGGTGTAGGTGGAGTTTGGCTTCAGGCCTCTAAGTCTGTACTCCGGGAAGGTTGCTGGGAGGCTGAGTTGAATCGGCCTGCGGTCTGGCCCAGAGAGATTGCGATAGGTTAGGCGGATTCCACGGATGTAAGGCCGCATTTCAATGTAGCGGTGGAGGTCCAGCAGGATTGAGGTTGCAGTTGCTTGATGTGAGCTGATGTCTGATGTGTCTACAGTGATAGTTTCCATGGTAATTTTAGCTTCAGGTGGTGAAGGTGGGGGATTGTTTTGGACTTCACAATACATGCCAGAGGTGCCATGTGGACAGCTACACTCTATCTGACCATGCTGGTCCAAATGACAAGTACCTCCATTCAGACAGGTGTGAGAGGGACAGAAATGCTGCTCCTCATCTGGATCCTTGCTGCTGCTACTGGGGGATGCAGGGACAGGGGGCAGGGGATAGTCGTCATCTTCTGTGGGGTTGTTACTGGCCCTGGGGACGGGAATAGCTCTAGTAGTACTTGGAAACGTTGTGACAGGAACAGGCAGGGTAGTAGTAGTTTTGACAGTACTAGTGGTGACTGTAGTTGTGGTAGGACAACCAAAATCCCTGTGTTCCAGTCTTTCCAATACCTTTCCAGCATTGATAGGTGGGAAATGGCAGCGGGTCTCCTCTGTTCTCTCCAGGGTGATGCTCTGTGTTCTTAGCCATCTTGGAAACCACGCTAAGGTGCAGAGGCAGTTGAAGGGGTTCTCTGCTACTGTGAGCTTTCTGAGGTGGGGTAAGAGCTGGGAGAACTCTTCAGGGAGGCCCTGCAGACTGAGGCTACTAATATCCAACTCCTGCAGCTCTCCTAGGTTCTGAAGATCCTGAACCTTAAGAGGACCCATTGGGTTCCCAGCCAAGCTAAGGTGAATCAGCCCCTGGGTCTCCTTTAACACTGACGGGAAGGACTCAAGTTGGTTTTCTGAGATGTCCAGTTCGTGGAGGTTCTTTAGACTACCTATGAGTTCCTCATTCAGGCTGGTGAGCCCCACACCACCCAATTTAAGTGACTCCAGGTTTGGGGTCTGGAGGTCTGATGGACCCAAGGTGGGTAAGACATTAAAGCGAAGGTCCAGCAGCAGCAGCTGAGGCATTGAGAGTGCAGGCAGGGATGTCAACTGGTTGCCCTGCAGTTTCAGTTCTAGTAGGTGCACCAAGCCATTAAAAGCTGCAGGGTGGATGGTCTTAATATGATTACTATACAGATAAAGGCGCTCAAGCAGTACCATACCCTGGAAGCATTCCCCTGAAATGTGGGTGATCTGGTTGGATGACAAGTCCAGGTTTCTCAAAGAGGTCAAATGTTCAAACACCCTTTCAGGAAGTTCAGTCAATTTGTTTTGACTGAGGTCCAGCATTTCCAGGTTCTCCAGACCATCAAAGTCCTCAGATGTCAAGCCCTCAATGCCATTGGAAAATAGGTAGAGGCTTTTTGTGGAATGGGACACTCCCTTGGGAATGGTAGAGGAGCGTCTCTGGAAACACAAGATGGATTCTGGCGTGGAACAGGAGCAGTCCTTCGGGCAGTCACTGGACAGGGTGCCATCAGGAACAATAAGGAAGAGCAGAAAGGGCATCAGCGGAGTGAGAAAGACCTTCATGGTGTAGATTCTTTCTTTCTCCATGCTCAGCCTAAAACAAGAGAAAATAAAAACTGTCAATGACTTGCATAACCATTCAGTGTACTTATATAATATGAAGTAAATTCTGACAGATTGTAAATGGTTACAGCAGTAGTACACATGCTATCATTGGCCTCTGTCAGTTGTATGTCTCATGTTTAAGTTTAGGAACATCCGGCTTTTTCAACAAGAAATATATGACAGATACAAAGCTTTTTTTCTCCCTGTTTAGTTTCCATACCAGCCTAAGTCCACAATTGATTCACTATGTGGTTCTTTAATGTGTTTCATAGAGTGAGATTACTATCAAAGGTTTAACTATGCATAGCCAGTGATCAAAGGCAGTCTTTTGTCACAAGGTCTCACAAACAATAGGGCTTCAGCCATGACCTCATGCTTTAGAGGTTTTGTGCCATACTTGTGGAGTTGACATAGTGGCATCTGGCCATTCTTTTCTGGCTAGAAGAATACCACATTCTGCAATGATCTGTGTAATAGATAGTACTTTGGAATGACAAAATCATTGTTTCCTTCTCTAATGACTGCACACGCACACACACCCTATATATATACATATACATATACATATATATACACACACACAGTGGTAATTAACTAATCCAACTTGTTTTGTTTCTGAGATGATGTGAAACAGTGAAAATAGTGACTTTGTCTCTCAAAGAGTCACTGAAACAGTGGAAAGCTTCACATATGCCCTCTGAATGATACACCATAAACACTGCTCTGGTCTATCCAGTTTCATATAACCATACTGTGTGGCTGTATGTCTACCATGCTGTACATGGCCACGCATCTGTGGATGATTTACTTTGTGGCGTTCTAAACTTGGAGAGGAGCTTCACTGATAGCCCGGAGCTGCTTCCCTGACTATGGGCACAATATAAATAACACACACTTTCTGTGTTGTCATTACGCAGATTGACAGCCAGTGCAACTAACCAGATGAGTGTCTCTAAAACTGTAAAAAGGAAGAAATAAACAGAGACCAAAGAGAGAAGGTCTTCAGGAAGATAACATACTGTGATTTAAGGCCATTTCACCAGAGCCTACAAACACCCTGGTTGAGTGTCAACACGGTACTTAAAAGGGTTGAACAGAAGGGAAGGGATGATGGAAAGGAGAGAGGAATGAGAAGAGATAAAGAAGAAACTAGTTGCTGACAAGACTCTGTGGGACACTTTATCATCCTCTGCTTTCTAATGAGATGGCCTTGGGGGACAGGGCAACATTTCAATCTGCTGACCATTTCTCTTCTTTTTGTCTTTCTCTCTTTTTACTCAGTAGAGAGTCAATACAAAAAGTTTTGTCCTTACTCCTTAACCAGAGGCGTCTGATTTGCTCAAATACACTCAAAATTGCCCTATTGTCCTGCAATTGGTTTTGTTAATGTCATGATTTATTAACTGGGCTAAGGGTAGTGAGCAGTTGATTGCTCCAAAAACATGCTTCAAACAGGGTTTGTTCAAAGACATGAAAATTTGTAAAATGCATTACATTTACATTTTACATTACATTTTCAAGGTATATAATTTTTAAGGCAAATTAATTTGGTGTTTGATCTACAAAATGACTCATGTAAACTAAAAATATTTGAATATTTGAAATGGAAATAATCACATTGTCATATGATGGCTTTGAGAGTGGAGATTTTTGGCTTAGGTACTTCTAAGTTTTGTGTTTTCATTTTACTTTAGATGTATGAACACTGTTTATGATTTATGACACCCACAAGTACTGTATGTTGGTCGACTTGAATGCCTGAGGGAGCCTTTTTAGGGCCTTAAATGATGCAGTTGTTGACATCTGCACTGCACAAATACCTGAATGAGAAGCCAAGTATGTGTGACTTACAGTTTTACACAGATGGAGCACACACAAACACAGAACATTCTGTTCTTACACTGCTTACCTACGGTTGTGGCCTATTACACCAGAAATGTCAAACTGCTTTAGACGTTTTATGTTTCTCATTTCCTGTTCTATCTTGGAACCATGTTCTTTTGCTCTGAAGTTACAGTGTTAATATACTTTTTGTAATGCACAATGCACAATGTCATCCATTAGATATAGAGACATTGAAACAGTCCGTAGAAGCACAGTTGCCCTCTCAAAATCTCTTCAAATCAAATTTCTCTCTATGGTCAGTGTTCATATATGTTGGGGAATAAATGCACATATATTTTACAGACAAACATTATCTCCCTCTCTCTCTGATTTCTTTCCCGTAATTTATTTCAAAATGAAAAAATACATGGATTAGCCCTTGTTCCAAATACACAGAAAGCTCTCGTACTCTATGTCTGTAAAGGACACACAAAACAATTAAGTGCTGCTGTAGTTTTGTTACATTTACAGGTGTCAATTTACTTGCATGTTAAAGTAGCATCAGGGCTGCTGCCAACTTAAACAATATTCTCATTTTTTAAATGTACTTCTCTTTCCTTTCCCTCTTTTATTTAATGAAACATTCTTTTACAAAATAATCACTGCTTGAATGTCAGAACTTGGAGAGGAGATCAAGGGTTTTTGGGGGGTTCATTAAAGAGGCAAAGGAAGGTCTAGTATCATCTCATCACACCACAGCTATGGCATTTATTTTCCTTCTCTTTCAGCATACTGTTCTTTCCGCTTCTCCTTGAAATCGCAACCTCCTTGGAAAGATTCCCCGATCTCTTATTTTGCCTTCTCCAGTGTATAAACTAAAAGCAATCCTGGCATTCACTTGAACTCCTCTGCCAACATGTTACTTATTATGCAGATAACTCTTTCAGACATGGCAGAAATGTTATTCTGTGCAGCCAAATGCCAATAAAATGACCCTGCTCAAACCTCAAGGCTTGATTGAACAAAGCAGCTAACTAGTTTTCAGAGTCAGCACCTGCTAACAGCACAGAAAAAACTACCCAAACTTTAGCAGCCAAGCAGAAAATGTAGACCCTCTCAGTATTTGTAATTGTTTATGGAAAGTTTTGTCCAGAAAGTAACGGATAACATCTGATAGCAATAGTTTGCTGTTGGCTGCAATTGAATGGGCAGTTGAAGTGGAGGGTTGCAGTTATCCCATAATGTGCACACAGTGCCAGTGGGAATTCAGGTGAGTAATTACATGTACGGAATTGTAAAGAATTTTTGAGTCATGCCTCAGTTGCTGGAGAGAAGTCCAAAGTAAAGAAAATATTTTTGAAAATGTTATAGATAAAAGTTTTGATTGTAGTAATTAATAATAACTGGAGTTAGTTCATAGAATAGCCAAAACGTAAAACTTTAAAAAGTCAGAGAGGAAAGGGCAGATTTCATTACAGGGCTCAGAAATGATGGAGGTGCAGATGGAAGAAAAGTGTGGCTGCCGTGCAGTATATGTGTACGGAACAAGGGAAAACAAAAGGATTTGGGAAGATAAACAGGAGATGAAGGGGATAGGGAGACTCGAGCAACAGCTGGAGTGTATGCAGATGGTCTCAGGCTTTTGTATCGTCACTGTGTGTGGGGTGCTGAATTTCAGTTTCAGAGTAGAATCCTGTGTGTGTGTGTGTGTCAAAGAGGGTGCACACGCATACTTTATGTTAAAGGGCACCTGTTCAGAACAAACACTACACTTTACTGTTTGTGTGAGCGAAGTATCACATGTGTCTGAAGTTCTCCAAAAATCCAATCTCATTCCTTCCGGAGATGGAGAAACTTGACTTTGGTACATTATATCAGGGCCAAAGACGGGTAATAGAGTCCTGTGCCAGAACATACAACAACATCAAGACAGCCATGAGAGGAGAGTGAGCTATGCAGATAAAACTGAGAATATTTGTCTTAGAAACTCAACATGGTGATTCTCCCCGGGGCAGAATGTTTATTTGAGTGTGCCTCATTCCAAACTGGGCCAGGCACATCTGATAACCCAGTGGAGGAGAAACTGTGTTGGAGGTGGATGGGGAGGGGTTCAGTCAGTGAACACTGCAAGATCACAGATAAACCGTAGCTTGATTTGTTAGATTCTCCTGTTTCTCTTTCATTTCGGATACGAGTTACTTGTGCGGGTCTTATCAGTGGGTAAGAAAAGGCGTAATTGTGGCGTCAGCCACAGTATGGATCCACAGTATACCCTGGTGCAGTGTGACTCCTGTCTGCTTTAACTTTAAGTGTTTTGAAGTGAGTGCAGGTGGAGGGCCCAGAGAGAGATAGCAGAAAGACAGGCTTGTCATCTCAAGAAGAAGGAATGCCCCCTCCCCTCTTGCCTTCCCTTCTCCTCCTCTCTTGAGTTGTAATTTCCTTTTCTCTCCCCTGCGCGCTTGTTGAGACATTCCTGAGACAGGCAGCAGCTGAGTTTGAAAAAGTGAGCTTGTCTGTCTCATTGGCTTGGCATTTAGAGATTAACAGGGAGTCTTTCTGGATTTATAAACAGACGATGGATTGGATGAATGATGGTGCTGCTTATATGAATGGGAGTCCAAACATCTTCTTGACCAGATTTGTTATATAACAATTGTTCTTACATCTGTGTTTTCTTTATGCTTGAGTCTAGGTTTGTGGGTTGTATTAGAATAAAACGTGTTGGCTGATTGCGGAATCACCCAAGGGCCAGAAACAGTAAGGAGCAAATACAAAGAAAGCTTGGGAAACGTCTTTTGCGCAACACTAAGTGAAATACATGGTTAAAAAAAAAAATCAAAGAGGCAAAGGGAAGAAAAGCATTTCTCCCTCTCCCTCAGCTCACGTCTTATCCAGCTTTTTCTTTCTTTTCAAAATGAGGAGGGAAAGAAAACACAAGCAGGGGAACAGCGGAGACAAAAGCAGGCTTCTGTCAGCAGGGGCACCGGGGTGGAGAGGTGGATAAGACCTGCCTTTGGGAGGGTGAAGTGGGCTTCAGCAATTAAATCCCGGCAGGCCATGCGTCAAGAGCCCTTATCTTCAGAGCTGAAGGCCAACACTGAGGGGCAAAGAAGGGTACACGGTGGGGTAGAAAATCGCGTTGTGTGTGTGTATGTGTGCGGAGGA